CATTAATTTTGAACAGCAGTTTTGTGGCCTCAGGATTATTTCCTTAGGAATTTGGAAGCACTAAATGAAAAAGGTAGAAAAAATATTTCTGTGAAAAAATTTTTGAAAGGAATAAATTAAGAAACACATAAGATATTCAGTTGATTTTTTTTCTTAAAAAATATTTTTTTGGTTATAAAAGAAATGCCATTTGTGAAAAATTATATGGAGAAGAAAATCATTTGTTACTTTGTCATTGTGGGGGTGTAAATACCTTTATGATTTCGTTGTGTTAACGACTAAGGTAGCTCTGTCAGTTCTTTTTTTCTGTCATGTGTTAACATACCAAATCCGGAAAACGTCAGATGCTTTTCAAATCACATCCGATATATAGAGTGGAAGCATTTCCTAAAGGTTCAAGAATTTGTTTTTAGACATTCCTATAGTTTATTATGAGATAATATTATTAGTAGTAATAATATACTATATTTATTATATAATAACATTGTACCTTTTTATATTCTGAAATATTTCAAGGATAAAGAATAATAAGCCGAATACCTGTGTACCATCTTTGTTTAATCTTAACATTTTGTAATATTTGCTTCAGATTTTGTTTTAAGAAATATAACAGTACAGGTAGAGTTGAACTTTTCTTCCTTGGTACCTGTCTTCATCTCATTCCCTTCTTTCCTCCCCAGGGGGGTGAGGTAATCATTATATTGAATTTGTTGTTAATCATTCCTATGTTTGTTTTTATACTCTTATTACATATGCACATATCTAGAAACAGCATCTTTATTTTTTAATGTGTGTCTGTGTTTTTATTTGTAGATCTGGTTCATTCTTTTTAATTGCTATATAGTGGCCAATTGTATTAATATCCTACAGTTATTTATCCATCTTGTACTGATGGTCATTTAGGTTGTTTCCAGGTTTTTGTTATTATAAGCAACATTCTTTTCTCCATATTTAAAAGCAGTTTTGTTTGTTATCTGGCAAGAACCCTTGGAGGTAGGTAAAACAAGTGTTGTTGCTCTCTTTTGACAGATGAAGAAAGAAGAAATAAAGCATGTTCACGTTTCTTGTAGTCAGTTCACTGACATTTTGCTTTCTCGTATTTGTACATTCTATTTCATACCTATTTGGCCTATTCTCTTATCTAGCCCCACCTAACCATTTATCTGTTCTCTCTCCAAACACCTGGGAGTATTTATAGTCCCTCTTTTAGAGGTCTAAATTTCTTGATCTTTATAACAATAGTTGTGCATTTCCTGGGCAGGAACCCTGTTTTATGCTTCTTGTATTTAATGCCCATTTTTTAGGGATCTTTTAATTTTAATAACATATACAAGTATACAAATCTCATTATAATCTTTATTTTTTGATAGTATTAAATTTATTTTGTGTCCTCACTATGGCCTGGGATTGCATAACTCTGAAATTTTAAATTTTAAATTCTGGCAAACTGATCTTTCATAACAACCTTTCATTCTTCCACATCTCTCATACCCTTGTTTTTGCTGTACCTGTTGTCTTAGTCCATTTAAACTGGGTAATTTATAAACAATAGGAATTTATTTTGTTCTCACAGTTCTGGAGGCTGGGGAGTCCCAGATCAAGGTGTGCTGCCAGCTAGCATGTCTGGTGACAGCTGCTCTCTGCTTACAAGGTGACGCCTTGCTGTTGCATCCTCTGGAGAGGAGAAGTGCTGTGTGTGTCCTCACATGGTGGAAGGACAAGAGAGCAAACCTCTTTTATAAGATATTAGTCCATTCATAAGGGTTCAGCCTTCATGACTTATCACTTCCCAAAAGGCCTCATCTCTTAATACCACTATAATAGGGATTAAGTTTCAACAGATAAATTATGGGGGACATTCAGATTGTAGCCCCCATTTCAATTTCATGGACATCTCTAGACTTTTGATCTTTTTT